GCCCTTTTGCAGGTCACTTGGGATCAGAGAGGACTTCTGAAAAATTCAACAAAAATTTCTTTTGGCCTATTATTCAAAATGAAGTAAAGGTATACTGCAGGACTTATGACTTATGTCACGCAAGGCTCCCTTGCCCCAGTACCAGTAATCAAGGAAGTATTTTTCAGGATGGCCACAGCCATAGGTGCTGGAACTAGTGGTGCTGGGGATGCTGCAAAACCCCCTGGCTTGAAATAGTTTCCATTATATACAGGGTTTACAGTTTGGTTCAATGGCTCTCAGCACCCCCTGTATACAAATTGTTCCAGCACCTCTGGTCACAGATATCATTAGGTTATGCTCTGCCCAACCCAGAGGGGGGAAAAATTATATTGGTTGCAGCTGACTTTGCCACCAGGTACCCAGAGGCAGTTGTTCTTGTCTAATGTGGAAGCTAAAACAGTGGCTACAACTGTTTGCTATATTCAGCTGATTAGGTTTTCCAAAGGAGATCCTGCCAGATCATGGATCAAATTTCACATCCCAGGTAGTTAGTGAGTTATGGAAGATGTGTGTGGTAAAGCAATGGAAAACAGCCACATAACACCCTCAAGCTAATTATTTAGTGGAGAGGTTCAATGGGACCCTAAAATTTATTCTGGAAATATGTACAAAAAAAAGAGGGCAAGCCGCTGGGATGTAATGTTACCTTTTCTATTATTTGCTTACTCCGAGGTACCCCACTTATCCACATGGTTTGTTTTATTTGACTTCCTGTATGGGAGAAAGGTCAGAGGTCCCCCGGATCGCATCAGAGACCCCTGGGAGGATGGCACTCAAGCAAAGGGGGAACCAGAGGCTGAATATGTGCAAAAGTTTAGGGAAGATTTAGAGACTATGATGGAAATTGTTCAGCAAAACCTCATTAAAAATTAAGCAGCTCAGAAAATATATCATGATCTCAATGCCTGTGTTCATTCATTTGATGTGGGTGATTAGGTAAGGTGTTACCCCTTGTAAAAAAGTATAAAATGCAGAATTCATGGAAGGGGCCTTTGGAGGTTGTGGCAAAGTTTAACAATCTTACCTACAATATACAAAGGCCCTACAGCAAGCCTGCACCACAGGACCATTTTCATAAACATGTTAAAAGTGTATCACAAATGGAGAAGCTATTGTAAACATTATATGCTGTACAGAGAATTCTCAACCTGTACTTCTCATTGATTTGATGGCTGAATGCCCTAACAATTCCTCACTAGAGAGCACTGAGGAATGTGAAGAGTTAACCCGATCTGAAAAGGCAGAGGTTACGAGTGTTGCAAATTTCTCTCAGTGATGGCACTGATTTAATTTCTAATCTGTCAAAAGTGGAAGTAAAGAATAGAGACTGCATTTACAAGCCACAAAATATATGCAGTTCACAGCTGCTCCATTTCTCTGCAGATCTGAGTTATCTTTGTTTAGCCTTTTCATAAGATTTTAAGATTTCTTCTCAGTTTGTTTATTTATCTATTTATTTATTTAACAAACAGGCAACAATATTTTCCATTCAATTCTGTTAAATTACTGACTACTCAGTGGTTACATCTATACAAAAAATTTCTTTCTACAGCAATCCATCATTAACAGCATTGAGCAACCCTGCTAACAGGCTGAATATTTCCCTGAACTTTCCAAGCCCAAAAGTTTAGGGTAACATCACAGGGCAAAGGAATGTACTCCTGAAATGAATTGTGAGCTAGTTGATTTTAATTATTACAGTTTTGTCTAAAATGATGGATGTTTTATCATATACAGATACCTTGGGAATGCCCATTGCAATCAATATAATAAATAATGTTCTTGTATTTTGACTTATTCATTTAAATGAAATACGACACTAAGTTTTACAAGAGACACTCGCTATCAGTTAAGAGCATGTCTTTCATTGTAACAACTTACCTTTTTGTGCAACACATATCCATAGTAGCAGTAGAATAGTATAGCTCTGCAGTATCAGTGTCTCAGAAACAGACCAGACACATTTACATTGATAGCTGGTGTTTTCTGTTGCTGTAAGCTACGTTCACTCATGGAACGGTCCTTGTAAAAGTTTTATTCCCTGACTTCTATAATCACTTCCCCTAATCCTCTTGCAACTCTCAATAGTCTCTTTCTATCTGCACAGATACATTATGCGAACTTTAAAAATATTAGCAAGGTATTTTTTTTCAGATATAAAGCCTTTCAAAATAAACCTGAAAATATCTGTTATCAAGGAAGTGATGTAGAAATTTCAATTAGCCTATGAAGAAAAACTGAGCCAAATTTAGTGCAAAATTACTATTTAGACGATGTAACAAAGGGGGTTTAGTCCTGCTTTCAGTACAAATACCAACACCATCTTAACTATGGACCCATGACAAGCACCTCCATAATAACGAAAGCATCCACAGTTACATAGCTAGAACACTTATTCTAAACCAGACACCATCAAATTAGGCCTGAATAAAGACTGGGAGTGGATGGGTCACTCCAAAAACTAATTTTCCCTCTGCTGATACTCACACCTTCTTGTCAACTGTTGGAAAAGGGCCACCTTGATTGCATTGGCCTCATTAGCACTACAAAAGTAATTTTCCGTCCCTTGGTATTCACCTCTTCTTGTCAACTGTTGAGAATAGGCCACTTCCACCTTAATTGAATTGGCTCATTAGCACTGACCCCCCACTTGGTAAGGCAACTCCCATCTTTTCATGTGCTAGAATATATATTCTGCTTACTGTCTTTTTCACTCTGTGCATCTGATGAAGTGGGTTTTAGCCCACAAAAGCTTATGCCCAAATACATTTCTTAGTCTCTAAGGTGCCACAAGGACTCCTTGTTGTTTTTACTTATTCCAATGTCTGCTGAAGTGAAAAGAAGTCTTTCCGTCAATGAACATTAGATTGGGCACATATAAACCTACATGCTTCAGGGCATAAATCCAACTATTGTGGGTTAGAAAGAAATTTCCTCTGTGGGCAAATTCTTCTGTAATTGCCTGCCCTTTATGGGATTTCTCAAAACTTTCCCCTGAAGTTCTGAGCACTGCCAGGAACAGTATGTTACGCTAGCTGGACTATTGGTCAGATCATGCATGACAACTCCTGACCTCCTTTTGGAAACCACATTGTTGTTTCTGCTCACCGATTCAATGACTGAAACATTTCAGAAGGAGGTTAATGAGTAACAAATGGCAAAAACTAACAAAACACATATCAAGTGAATTTCATAACCATTTGTGTTACAATTTGTAAAGCTTGCAGGATTTTAAGATGTTTTCACAAATAGACACTTTCTTTCTGAATATTTGTTAACAAAAATGTAACAATACACATTCAACAGAGAACATGAACTCCAATTTTATTTGAGAAAGTATTAATGAATCAGCTTTCAAAAATATTTGCCTAGCTCTAAGTATTTCTTAAGTATGACTATTTCACAAAGAGCAATTAAGAGCCAGTTTTTAAAGGTATTTAGGCATCGAACTGCTTTTGGTTTCAGAGGGACTTAGGTTCACAGAGATTCAGATAAATTCCTACTTGGATACTCCAAAGCACATAGGTACTTAAGTTCCATTGAAACCAAAAAGAACAAGGCACCTAAATACATTTGCAATCTGGCCCTAAGCCTTGACTGTTAGGGTAAAACCCAGGCTCCACTAAAATCAGTTGAAAAACTCTCATTAACCTCCTTGGGTGCCGACTTTTACTCTATTTTCATGTCCTTCCCCACTCTATCAACCTTCTTCTCCTCTCTCCCACTATTTGTAAAATATGTATAGTACCAGTGGCCATGGGAAAAATCAGTCTGAAAGGGGAAGGTGAGCCTCCAGCCTGGACTGAACCCAGGCTCCTGCTAGTGTATAGGGTAGTATCCATTTGAATACTTTGTGAGCTCTCTAGTGGTGCTTAACTGTGTTATCTTTTTGAAGCTATCAAAATTCAATCAGAACATCAGTATCTTTGTAGGTAGGCCCTGTATGCTTTTAATATTTTTCGTAAACATGGCTATTTGGGATCCCGCTGTGCTTGCGTGGTTTCTTCATGCTGTTTTTGGTTGTGTAAAGGATGAAAGTCCCAACCTATGATCTCAGTATCAAATTGCAGTGTAGCCTGTTTTAAAAACCTGTCCAAGTAACTGACAAAAAATTAGTTGCTCAACAGGAGGTGACCTCCTAATGAAGGTACAAGATGATTGCACTCTTCATGTCTGGAGATACTTCAGGATGGTCTTAAGACAGGAGATTGCCTAATAAGTACAGGTTTCACTATATATAGTTAGAGCCAATTTAATATTTTAATCATTTTTAGTGCACAGCACAGAAAATCTAGGATGCATGAATGACACTAAAGCTGAGCAATATCATTTCAGTGCTCCACAAAGTAAACTAAGGACTTTTGAAGGCTAATGTACTGTTGCTCTTGGCTCTGGATATTGCTCTCAACAAATGCTTTTGGAGACTGAGTATTAATCTCCTCCACCACCTCACCTTAAATATCAAGGTAGAGAGAGAGAATTTATTTGAGCTTTATGAAGAATACAGTCCAAATTATTGTAAGTGCTTCTTTTGCATTACACTGAATTTCTCTCCACTTAGTTGGCATGATCCAAAACTCATTAAAATCAACAGGAAATCTGCCATTGACTTCAACAGGCATTAGATCGGGACAGTGGGATCTATCACTGTATTCACCCTAGCTGAGATCAGTCTTGTTCAGATACCATAATACTTAGATTTAAAACCTGTCCTAGCTCCTAAGCACCTTACTGACCTGGAGCCCATACAGCTGGATGGGAGTCAGTTGGCTCACTTGCTCAAGGAAACGTGGGAGGGGAATTACCGGAAGAAATTGATCTTTTTGAACAACTAAGACTGCTTTTTAAATTAAAATTTGCATACATTTGTGATGCAATATTGACAGAGTGTGGGGCCCAGCAGTGAAGGGATTATAAACAAGAGGTCAGCTTTTAAAAGACACTGGTAAGGACAGAGTCCAGGACACAGCACTACACTACACCAGCACTTTAAAATTGCGGGCCAAGCTTTTGAGGCACAGAGATGACCCAACTTGGATATATTGCCATTCTGGTATTATGGGCGTGCTCCACTGCATTAGGTAAGATGTTAAGATACGAACAAAATATAGACTCATCAAAAGACCACGTAAAGGTACAGAGATAACTAGAAGGAAAAGATTTTTAGCACATACCACCACCTAGGCCTATTGGGGTAGGAAAAGCGGATGGTGACTTGGTAGTATGACTGAGGGGCAAGGTAAAGCAGTGACGCTGCTTCAAGGGCAGAGCCTGTTTTGAAGATGCTAATGAAGTAACTGTCACTTTGTCTGTGTAACAGCTATACAGAAAATTCTTTCTCTCCAAATTTAGCTGTTAGCTAGTTTATACCAGCTGAATATGCCAGAAATGCACAATTCTTTGCATCATTGCTGTCCCTTTTCCATAATATTTCACAGAGATTAAGCATCACTAAGTTATTGGTGATATAGTCTTGATATGCTCATCTCACCCACTTCCACCAACCACAGGTTGAGTTCTAGTCTTCAGAGCTGGGTGAAATCATTCAACCAAAACTGCTTTCAGTGAAAAATGCAGATTCAGCAACTCTGCAACATTTCACAAATTTGTGTTGATTTTGCCAAATTGTTTCAGTAAAAATAAAAAACCTTTAAAAAGTCTCAAAAAAATTAAATAATTTCTTGGGACTTTTTTTGGGTTACAATTTTTGATTCTAAAAAAAAGAAGACCTTGTTTCAAAATTCTTACATTTTATTTTAAAAATTAAAAAAAAGTGTTCCACTATGCTCAGAATTGAAATGAAACATTTTGTTCAACCCAAAACAATTTTGGGGGTATTTTTATTGGCTGCAAATTTTTGGGGGGGACGGGACATTTTTAGCTCAATCCAACACATTTTTTGTCACCAAGATGAAAAATCCATTCTTTGCCTTAGCTCTAGCGTTCATACAGCAACTTCTCCGCTACCACAACCGTGTGTGCTTCTCCATATGTTCAGGCTGCCTAACCATATTTGCATTAGTGCATTTTGGGGAAATCGTGGCAGCAAGCAAGATTCATTAGCAATGGTGAGAGCTCAATTTAAAAAAAGTCATGTTATATAAACTGCTTTGCCTATTTGTGTGTCTTAATTAACTTTCACTAGTAATTCCACTGCTAGTTACCCATAGCAGTGTTTTCATTTTAAACCTTTACTAGGAGAGTTTTCATTTTGTTTCACCCAGAAGATGTTCCTCAGCTTTTCCAAATGGCTCCAACCAAGTTAAACTCCTTTTTCATTCTCTTTAAATGTATTATGCTGTGTTAGAAAATATCAGCAGAATATTCAAGCAGAGATTTCAGAGTACATACAGAATGTCTGAGTTTATGCATTTGCTTTGCTTTCAGCTGTTTCATGTGGTAACATAGAAAATGGGAGGGTAAAGCCAGGTTCCTTCTTCCACAGAAGAAAAAGAACATTTGAATGTAATGCCGGGTATATAGCAGAAAATGACAACAACAGAATTGAGTGTACTTCTTCAGGATGGTCTCCTGTACCCAGATGCATTCGTAAGTGAGCTTTAAATAAGGTTAACTTCTTCTATATTGTCCTTCAAAGAGAGATACATTGCAGTTTTTATAGTACTCGAGATGTACTGAAATACAGCCCATGTACAATGGGTAAGTATGCTGCTGATTTACTTTCATTATATACACCAGTCTTGGAACAGAACAGTCACAAAGGGCACTCACCTCAGTCAACCCCCTTTTTCAGAATTCTCAGCAAAACACCAATGCCAAGTTCCCAGGAAGCAACTCTGCAACACGGATCAGCTGTAATTACAGAGATGAAGGTAGAGGGCAAACTCTCTTACTGTTTTCCACAGCTCCCCCACCAAATGAGCTGCATCACAAAAACGAAGAACAATATATGTAAAAAGTAAAAGTTTTGTTATCTGGCATGTTGGGAGAATGGGGGGTGCAAGTTAATCAAAAATTCCAGTTAACTAAGAGCTATAGTTACCCATGGAATACCAAATTTTCAAAGAATTAGAATACAATAAAATGGATAAAGTATAGTCGTAGTAGTACAGCACTGCAGAGAGCTTGGCTTCTTGAAGCACTTAGGTGTATACATTTAGGTGTAACGTTTTCTATACAGTAGGTTATCTTACGACACTATATATCACTATGGGCAGCGCATGGCCTACACTCAGATCAGATTTGCGATGTGACGGAGAGACTGCCGAGACTCATCAAGCCCTCGGATCACTACCCCTTCCTGCTTCTCCACATGGGCACCAATGATACTGCCAAGAATGACCTTCAGCGGATCACTGCGGACTACGTGGCTCTGGGAAGAAGGATAAAGGAGTTGGAGGCGCAAGTGGTGTTCTCGTCCATCCTCCCCGTGGAAGGAAAAGGCCTGGGTAGGGACCGTAGAATCGTGGAAGTCAACGAATGGCTACACAGGTGGTGTCGGAGAGAAGGCTTTGGATTCTTTGACTATGGGATGGTGTTCCATGAAGGAGGAGTGCTGGGCAGAGACGGGCTCCATCTTACGAAGAGAGGGAAGAGCATCTTTGCCAGCAGGCTGGCTAACCTAGTGAGGAGGGCTTTAAACTAGGTTCACCGGGGGAAGGAGACCAAAGCCCTGAGGTAAGTGGGAAAGCGGGATACCGGGAGGAAGCACAGGCAGGAATGTCTGTGAGGGGAGGGCTCCTGCCTCATACTGGGAATGAGGGGCGATCAACAGGTTATCTCAAGTGCTTATATACGAATGCACAAAGCCTTGGAAACAAGCAGGGAGAACTGGAGGTCCTGGTGATGTCAAGGAACTATGACGTGATCGGAATAACAGAGACTTGGTGGGATAACTCACATGACTGGAGTACTGTCATGGATGGTTATAAACTGTTCAGGAAGGACAGGCAGGGCAGAAAAGGTGGGGGAGTAGCACTGTATGTAAGGGAGCAGTATGACTGCTCAGAGCTCCGGTACGAAACTGTAGAAAAACCTGAGTGTCTCTGGATTAAGTTTAGAAGTGTGTGCAACAAGAGTGATGTAGTGGTGGGAGTCTGCTATAGACCACCGGACCAGGGGGATGAGGTAGATGAGGCTTTCTTCCGGCAGCTCACGGAAGCTACTAGATCCCATGCCCTGATTCTCATGGGTGACTTTAAATTTTCCTGATATCTGCTGGGAGAGCAATACAGCAGTGCATAGACAATCCAGGAAGTTTTTGGAAAGCGTAGGGGACAATTTCCTGGCGCAAGTGCTAGAGGAGCCAACTAGGGGGGGTGCTTTTCTTGACCTGCTGCTCACAAACCGGGTAGAATTAGTGGGGGAAGCAAAAGTGGATGGGAATCTGGGAGGCAGTGACCATGAGTTGGTTGAGTTCAGGATCCTGACACAGGGAAGAAAGGTAAGCAGCAGGATACGGACCCTGGACTTCAGGAAAGCAGACTTCGACTCCCTCAGGGAACGGATGGCCAGGATCCCCTGGGGGACTAACTTGAAGGGGAAAGGAGTCAAGGAGAGCTGGCTGTATTTCAAGGAATCCCTGTTGAGGTTACAGGGACAAACCATCCCAATGAGTCGAAAGAATAGTAAATATGGCAGGCGACCAGCTTGGCTTAATGGTGAAATCCTAGCGGATCTTAAACATAAAAAAGAAGCTTACAAGAAGTGGAAGGTTGGACATATGACCAGGGAAGAGTATAAAAATATTGCTCGGGCATGTAGGAATGATATCAGGAGGGCCAAATCGCACCTGGAGCTGCAGCTAGTGAGAGATGTTAAGAGTAACAAGAAGGGTTTCTTCAGGTATGTTGGCAACAAGAAGAAAGCCAAGGAAAGTGTGGGCCCCTTACTGAATGAGGGAGGCAACCTAGTGACAGAGGATGTGGAAAAAGCTAATGTACTCAATGCTTTTTTTGCCTCTGTTTTCACTAACAAGGTCAGCTCCCAGACTGCTGCGCTGGGCATCACAAAATGGGGAAGAGATGGCCAGCCCTCTGTGGAGATAGAGGTGGTTAGGGACCATTTAGAAAAGCTGGACATGCACAAGTCCATGGGGCCGGACGAGTTGCATCCGAGAGTGCTGAAGGAATTGGCGGCTGTGATTGCAGAGCCATTGGCCATTATCTTTGAAAACTCGTGGCGAACCGGGGAAGTCCCGGATGACTGGAAAAAGGCTAATGTAGTGCCAATCTTTAAAAAAGGGAAGGAGGAGGATCCTAGGAACTACAGGCCAGTCAGCCTCACCTCAGTCCCTGGAAAAATCATGGAGCAGGTCCTCAAGGAATCAATTCTGAAGCACTTAAAGGAGAGGAAAGTGATCTGGAACAGCCAGCATGGATTCACAAGGGAAGGTCATGCCTGACTAATCTAATCGCCTTTTATGATGAGATTACTGGTTCTGTGGATGAAGGGAAAGCAGTGGATGTATTGTTTCTTGACTTTAGCAAAGCTTTTGACACTGTCTCCCACAGTATTCTTTTCAGCAAGTTAAGGAAGTATGGGCTGGATGAATGCACTATAAGGTGGGTAGAAAGCTGGCTAGATTGTCGGGCTCAACGGGTAGTGATCAATGGCTCCATGTCTAGTTGGCAGCCGGTATCAAGTGGAGTGCCCCAAGGGTCGGTCCTGGGGCCGGTTTTGTTCAATATCTTCATAAATGATCTGGAGGATGGTGTGGATTGCACTCTCAGCAAATTTGCGGATGATACTAAACTGGGAGGAGTGGTAGATACGCTGGAGGGGAGGGATAGGATACAGAAGGACCTAGACAAATTGGAGGATTGGGCCAAAAGAAATCTGATGAGGTTCAGTAAGGATAAGTGCAGGCTCCTGCACTTAGGATGGAAGAATCCAATGCACTGCTACAGACTAGGGACCGAATGGCTAGGCAGCAGTTCTGCAGAAAAGGACCTTGGGGTGACAGTGGATGAGAAGCTGGATATGAGTCAGCAGTGTGCCCTTGTTGCCAAGAAGGCCAATGGCATTTTGGGATGTATAAGTAGGGGCATAGCAAGCAGATCGAGGGACGTGATCATTCCCCTCTATTCGACATTGGTGAGGCCTCATCTGGAGTACTGTGTCCAGTTTTGGGCCCCACACTACAAGAAGGATGTGGATAAATTGGAGAGAGTCCAGCGAAGGGCAACAAAAATGATTAGGGGACTGGAACACATGAGTTATGAGGAGAGACTGAGGGAGCTGGGATTGTTTAGCCTGAAGAAGAGAAGAATGAGGGGGGATTTGATAGCTGCTTTCAACTACCTGAAAGGGGGTTCCAAAGAGGATGGATCTAGACTGTTCTCAATGGTAGCAGATGACAGAACGAGGAGTAATGGTCTCAAGTTGCAGTGGGGGAGGTTTAGATTGGATATTAGGAAAAACTTTTTCACTAAGAGGGTGGTGAAACACTGGAATGCGTTACCTAGGGAGGTGGTAGAATCTCCTTCCTTAGAGGTTTTTAAGGTCAGGCTTGACAAAGCCCTGGCTGGGATGATTTAACTGGGAATTGGTCCTGCTTCAAGCAGGGGGTTGGACTAGATGACCTTCTGGGGTCCCTTCCAACTCTGATATTCTATGATTCTATGATCACTAAAAATACACTTAATACTAAAACTATACTGAACATAATTTAATTTTTGATGATTCAGAAGGCACTTCAAGATCTTGCAGGGCCTCAGGGTCATCATTAACATCAATTATAATTGTAGATGTAGAGAAGATTGGGCTGAATCTGTAATGGCCCTATGATACAACCTGGAAGCTGCTTTTTGAATAACTGGCTGGTAACGGGGGACAGCAGCCAATGGGAGCCTCGGGGAAGGTACCCACAGGTGAGGGCAGTGCATGGAGTCCTCTGCATCCCCCTCCCCCAAAGCCTGCGGGGATGTGGTGCCCGCCCCTTCTGGGAGCGGTGCGGGGCCAGGGCAGGCAGGGAGTCTGCCCTGGCCCCAGTGCACGCTGGTGCCACCCCAGAGCTGCTCAAGGTAAGCAGCGCCGGGCAGGAGGCCGCACCCAGAACCCTTCCTGGACCCCAACCCCCTGCCCTGAGGCCCCCACCCGCACTCATCCCTGCACCCCTGCCCTGAGCCACCTCGTACACCTTGCACCCCTTCTCTACCCCAACCCTTTGTCCTGAGCCTCTTCCTGCACACCACACCCCCTCTGACACCCCATGCTCCCTCCCGCACCCCATCCCCCTGCCCTACATTCTTGGCCCTGCATGCAATTTCCTCACCCAGATGTGGCCCTCAGGCCAAAAAGTTTGCCGGCCCCGGCTTACAGCCTTGTCAGCAAATGGTGGATTCCACATCCATATGGAAGCATTCTCTGATACAGCAATTTCATAACAATTTCATAGCGTCAACCAGAACTCAAATTTTCCATCCCACTTCTCCAAATTGTCACAACACCTGCTCCAGAGTGACCAAAACTGATACAGTAACGATATCAGAAAATTATACACACTCAGTACATATATGATTCTTTGAATATCATTACACTTCACTTTGTACGACTTTCCATTACATTTACACTGTTATGCCATACAGTTTCTTAACTAGTTTTGTCACCTTTTAGGGATAATGCAATATCTGTGTACACTGATAATATCACAAACACAGTCTAAAAGAAAAATTAGGACTGCACAAAAATTAGCCAAAAACATGTTCAAAATTAGACAAAATAGTGCTATTATAAAAATAAAACTAATGTAGCACCTATATTTTGGTGAGTAGGTTGGCAGCAAGATACTGTAGAAGGGATTAAACAAAACAAAATATGGAATGAAATTTTTCAAAGCCAGTGAGGGGATTTAGCTACATCATTCCCATTAATTTATGGGACGTTTCTATGGCTAAAATCCTGTCTAGATTTGAAAAATCTTAACCATAGATTTTAAATGAAAAAACAACATACTTCAGAGCACTATTGTCATTGTATTTGCCTTTAAGTAATGTGCAGCATTACCTCGTCTAGCATTATTGAACAGATTCAATCCTAATCCTTCAAAAAACTTGAGTAAATCAAGCAACTATTTTAGAGAAGAAAGCTCCTTCTCTGCACTTTATCAGTATTATTGTTTATTATTTGTATTGTAATAGCCCCACTCAGGTTCAGAGCTGTGTTATGCTAGGCACTGTACAAACATATAGAAAGATAGTCTCCAGGAGCATTGCATAAACTCTAATAATTTAATGTACTTGGTAGTTACATTTGGATTCTCTTCCTGTTTTAAAAAGGAATTTGCTCATTAGTGAGAATTTTCAATTTGCCTTCACTTAGTCAAGCCAAAGTTACAAAACACACATAATGTCCAGTTTATGCTGTATATTGCAACTATGTTCGTACTCAGTTTAGAGAATGACCATGTTTTAATCAAGGACCCTGAGAATAGGTGTATTTTAAGTGTCAACAGAGTTTTTGTCTGCTCATGTTTCCAGTACTTTCATATGAGCTATAATTAACTTTGAGTTTCTGTCAGTGACTTAATTAGATCTAGAGAATCTGGGGTAATGTTTTCAGAAACACCTACGTGAGTTAAAGCCTAAGTCCCAATTTCAAAGTGACTTCGACACCTCGGCTCCTAACTACCACTGAAAGCCAATGGGACTCTGGGTCCTGAGTGCGTAAGTCACTGTAGAAAGTCCAGGTGCTTTAAAAACAATTTTACCCTGTTCAAAAAATGCTTAAAGTTTTCAAAAAAAAAATTTCATTGACATTTCAAAAATTTTCAAATAAACTTGTCATAAAAATCAAGTTTTTTCACAAAATATTTTGTGCTTTTTGAGAAAACAAAGGTCAAAAATTTATTTTTCTAAACTGACTAGCTCTACTAATAATGCATTGCTAACTATTATGGTAGTACAATATGTTGTATACAGTACACCATGAATTCCTGTATATTATCTGCAATAGTCTTTTTGGTTATGTTGCTCTGTTTTTGTTCAGCAATACAATGCGGAAGGATAGAAAATGGGAAAATAGTGGACAAAGTTGAAGAAAAAACAACCTTTCAATGTAATCATGGATATAAATCTGAAAATGGAATTAATGAAACTACCTGTACCTCTGAAGGCTGGTCTCCAGTACCTACATGTACTGGTAAGAAAGCTTTCATTTAAGATTAACTTCTGCTAGTTCTTTTTTCCCCTCAGACACATTGTGTTTATTTGAAAAACCATCAAGTGTTTTAATAATCAATCAAGCAGTTGTATAAATAATGTGGAATGTAATGTGTTCTTAAAACAGATACCAAACTCTCAAGTTTGGTAATACAAAACCAGGTAAAATTTCTCACAGTACCTAAAATGAAGAAGAACCAGAGCTTGAATCCTAAAAAAAAGAAGTGCCAGAACACACAATTTCAACAGCAAGAATCTCTTATAATAGTAATGTACGTTTTTATTGCACACCTGAAAGATGCTATATGTACGCACACCATATTCTTCATTGTCTACCCAAATACGATATCAGTTTGCTGCTTGTGCTGCCTCTTCAGATATCTTTTTCAGTGATTTTGTGTCTTCCGCAGATTGATGCTTTGCAAGCCACTTCTTCACGTATGGACAAGCCAGGCCTTCGCACTCTTTGACACCCTTTTTCTGATAGCATTACATATTTATGAAGTAGACAATTTATCATTTGTCTTTTTGATAAACTGATGCTGGCAAAAAGCTGGAATTAGTAGGGTTGTGATACAGGATTTTTGAAAAAGCGCACTAATGAAAATTCCGATATTTTAGCATGAATAATCATTGGTTTACTTTACAATTATCAGAAATACCGGAATGCTATTCTGCCTCCTCCAAGGAAAGGGCTAGAATGGTGTTCTGGATCAACATGAGTGCTGAGGAGGACTTGCCTTTCTAAGCAATTATCCCAAACATAGAGAGGCAGGAAGGCATTCTTCATACCGTAAAATATATCTGCTATTCATTCAGAGCTTGATCCTGTACTCAATGAAGTCAGTGTCAAAGCTCTCACTGACTGTAATGGTGCCAGATCCGGGCCTTAGAAATATAAGAAAATGTGGTGATGTGGAAAGCTTATAAGGAATATGACCCATATTCAAAGATAATGTTGTACAGTGGTGTAAATTAGATCACCATAGCCTAGCTTAAACTTGTATTTAGATCCCCTTACACCTATTCTCATCACTTAATGATGTATCAACTTTAAGATCAAGACATTAATTACAAACAGAAACAATATTACTTCTTTTCTTATGTCAATTAACTGGAGCTTCTTCCTATGGATGTACGTCAGTGAAAATAATGTTCTAACACAGAAAATGAGAGGAGCAGTGTTTCCGCAAGTCCGATCGAACATTCATGAAGTTCTCACATCAGACTTTTATTTTCATCAATTTTGATGATGGAAATATCCCCCATTAATTATTATTTGTTTTGTTCTAGCCACAAAGACCCCAGCCAAGATCAGAGCCTCATTGTGATTCTACAGCATCTAACATAAGAAATAATTTTTACCCCAAAGAACTTACCACATAAAATTGATGCAACACTGTTGCTTCTTCAATTTGGTTCCCCCTCGACCCCCATCAGTAATAAGTTAACACATGTGTGTGTTGCAGTTCAAGTGTGTCCACATCCACCTGACATCGATTTGGCAGAAATTGTCAGTGGGGAGAAAGCAGAATATCAGGAGGGTGATGTTGTTCACTACAGGTGCTACCCAGGATACACTCTGGCGGGACCTGAAAGGATAACGTGCAGTGGAGAAAAATGGACACCTCCTCCAAAGTGCTTGGGTAGGATAATGTTTTGGTTCTTAATTCATTGGACTAAAGTAGGTAGGGAATAATGTCCCGCTCTTGTCTCATAGTATTATTTAATAATGGATACTATTCTATGAGTGGCTACTTAATGTTTCCAGCACTCCCATAGTTTCTGATCCTGCTCCCATACAATGCAATGGCAAAATTCCCATTGACTTCACTGGTATCAAAGGATCATGCTGAAGCATCATACACTATTTAATTTTAGATAGCGCTGAATACTGATCAGTGAACAGGACTATCTAATTGATAGATAGTAAATGGCAGATTATCTGGTATGGAAAGCGTAGATAGCAGTATCCTATTGGCTTTGCTTAACAATACTTTATATTAGAATTACCTTTCATACATGCTTTAACAATGGGAAGTTACTGTCCCCATTACAAGAATGGAGAAACTGGGGCAACGAAATTAAGGAACTTGCCAAGACCACACAGCAAATTAATAGTAAAGGTGGCACTAGAACATGGGAGTTGTGATTTACAGGTCCCTGAGCTAACAACTTTTGAAAGTAGTCCACTGTTTCTTTGGTCAGCATCATTCATTCTCTGTGTGGTAAACAAAAAGGGAAGATGACTCTAGAAGTATGGAATCTGCAGCACTGTGTTAACGTGGGAGGAGATAGCAACACACAAAAAGTAGATCAAAAGTTTAACTCTTTTCTATTTAAAGCTCCATGTATTATCACAAGGCAACAACTGGAAACAAAAAAATTGCTTCTGTCCAATGGCCGAAGACGTACAGTATTGATTCAAAGTGACCAAACAATGGAATTTCTTTGTGGTGAACATTCTGACCTTAAAATCCCCTACCTCATCAAGTGTGTAGATGGACACATGGATTTACCAACTTGTATATCTGGTAAATGTACTTAGTTCTATATCAGTTCTTTTCCTCAAATACATTTGAGCAATAAGGAAGGGAGCATACGTGTAGTGGGTTAATGTTGGTTCTGGGCACAGTTAAGCAAATCAGTCTTCCTTTCAGATTTATTTGGGACTTGGTAATTCAGGACTTCCTGAAAAAATCACCCTTTTCATGTTTCTATTTAATTAAGCAAATAGCTTTAAAAACTCCAGCACCAGCCAAGCTGGTCCAGTGAAACACTGACAAAGGTAAACGTGGGCAGAAAGCCCACTTTTCAAAAACATATGTTTCCTTTTACAGAGACAAAAAGCTTTATTTAATAGACAGAAGTAGGGGGAGAGTTTCAACATTAATTCAACAGTCCAGGTCTGAAACCCATAGAAAATGCCTTGGTCTTCTCTACCAGGGAGTAACCTACTTAAAGCGGAGTTTCAACCTGGACTTTCCTGACAATCCTTTCATTTGAAGGGTGGGAGGGTTTTGCCATACTTGAAAATAGCCAGGGATTTAGTATCCTAGAGCCTGAATATCTTAGGGTACCTGCCAGAGGCCAGGCTCATGTGCATGGTGTCCCATTCCTCACACTAGTTCGGTGTCAGGCAAGCAGGGTTCAGACTCATAACAACATACTTTGTTTACTATGGAAATTTAGCTCAAATGCAACATTTGACCTCCCGTGAGATCCTGATGTTTCATCCAAAGTTTCCATGTGTAAAGATGTGATTCACCCAAGGCCCTGTAGGAGCTCAGATGGGATTATAGCCCAAGCGATCTGGGAACTACTTGTCTAGGAGTGAATATAGCAAACCTTGCACCTTGGAACAGTGTAATTCCTTAATCACTTCTCATGCCTGCTCAAGGCCACCAAATACGGGAGAAAAACTTTTTGTGTGGTTACATGCATTTTTGTAAAACTGGCAGTTTAGGTAACTGCAAGGCAGGAAGGAATTTTCTGGTATCATCCTGGATCAATTAGATCAGTGAACTAGACCAGTCATGTAGATTATGTGCACAAAACTGAAAGGATTAAGAGTGCAGATTATGTTTATTAATGACAAATTCAATGCAGTTTATTCCATGATTTCCAAAATAAAGGAATTTATGACCATAGATGTTGTATAACTGTGTGTTAGAGTAGCATTTAGGACCTTGCTTAAATGTATACCAGTTTGATCTTGCCCCATGACTAAACTATTGATTTCAGTGAGAGCTGGATTAGGCCTGAAAAGCCAAAAAATTCAGAGCATTGTGACAGATGAATACAGTAACTCCTCACCTAACGTCCTTCCACTTACCGTTGTTTCAAAGTTAGGTCGCTGCTCAATTAGGGAACATGCTCATTTAAAGTTGTGCAATGCTCCCTTATAACGTCGTTTGCCTGCCTGCTCTGTCCACTGCATGCAAGATTTTGTGGAAGAGCAGCAACTTTACAAAGGAGAATTGCACAAGGTCCTCTTCTCCACCTCCTTCCCAGCACTTCCCCCCGCCAAACAGCTGTTTGGCGGTAGGGGAAGGAACAGGGAAGGACCGCATCTCCACTCCTCCTCCCTCCCAGAAAGTCCTAAGAGTCACCAAACAGTTGCTTGGCAGCGCTTAGGAGTTTGGGGGGTTTTGGGGCAGGGGGGGAAGAGGGGAGAAGCGGGGATGCAGCATACTCCAGAGAGGAGATGGGGTGGGAAGAGCAGGCCTGGAGTGGAGCGGGGACAGGAAGAGGCGAGCCTGGAGCATCCCCCGGCAAAGTCAGGGCCTGTTCTTCTCCGGGTAAGCTGCCACTGCTCCTGCGAAGGTGCTTCCTAGCGTCCTTGCCTGCAGCAGGCTGTGCCTGTGCGGGGTAAGCCAGGGGCACTTCCCAACCACAGTACAGCACAGTACTGTACAGTATATAATGCCTTTTGTCTGCCCCAAAAAAATTTCCTTGGAACCTAACCCTCCCCCGCATTTACATTAAATCTTATGGGAAAATTGGATTCATTTAACATAGTTTCACTTAAAGTTGCATTTTTCTGGAACATAACTACAATGTTAAGTGAGGAGTTACTGTACTGGTGCCATCAGCATGCTACATATAGAATAGCAAAGCCAAAAACATTTGTATCTGTACAAAATCATAACTACAGATATTTTCATTTAGGAACTGGGGAAAAGTGTGGCCGTCCACCTACTATTGAGAACGGAGACATAACTACTTTCTCGCTAAATGAGTATGCATTTGGCTCTTCTGTAGAATACAGATGCCAGCATTATTATATAATAGAAGGAGAAAGGAAATCATACTGTTACAATGGAATCTGGACAAATGAACCAGTTTGTTTAGGTAAGAAAAATATTCAGGAGTAAAAAGTTTTTAATTTATAACTAATTTAATTTTATAAACCATGATCTCCTGGCTACTATTTTGTCATTTCTTTTTCATGAAGCTGAAATTTATTTTCAAAGCTGTCATTGCATTGACTTTTTTTTAAAAAAAAAGTGACATGTAGATTTAACAGCATAGTTAACTAGAGTTGGTCAAAGTCTGGGAAAATATTTCTATGAAAATGTTTACAAATTTATCTCCCCACTTTTCCATTTAAAATGTTTCAATGGTAATTTTCAAACTAGCTTTATGATTAACAAATCAGCTAAAAAGGAAAGGACAGAGTGAAGTTAATTGGATTAAACCATATTTGCTCCTACCTACGGCAAAGAGCCAGAACATTGTATAGCCAAATATCCAGCATGAAGGAGTCCAGCTGCCATTCTAACCAGACTAACATTCCCATCTGACTATCTGGTAGTTGATGTGATGGTTCTAGCAGGATGATGAAGCAAGCTTAAAAGAATAAAAATGTATTTTTAAATACACTTGTGAGAATGTGCCATCCCCTCATAACTGAGGGTGGGAAAAAGGAGTTAAGAACATTGACAAACTGGAAGGAATGAAGATGTAGCAAGAAGCAGCCAGTTACAAAATGACCACTTTAGGTTATGCCAAATGAAAAAGACTAGTCCTCGGAACAGTACGTTGGGGGAAAAAGTTCCTATAAGAAGCCAAATTCATACCAGCAGAGTTAGTAAGGATCAGGATATCATGAAGGAATGGGCTATTGCTCTGTTTACATGCTGCCTCCATAGCCAGTGGTGTATTACAATCATAGTGCTGCAGATGGAGTAAACTGTAGCTACAAAGTTTTCAGCAGCTCCATGTGTGATACTTCCCACCAGTGAGAAAAAATTGTTGATTTCCCCTCATAGTGGGAGTAGGAATGGGGAAGAAAGAACTTACTTGCCACAAATCTGAGAAGTAAGAGGGCCTGGGGATACCCGAGGTAGCTGGCATGCTACCGGAGCCAGTAGGGACAAGGGTATTGATGGGAATCAGGGGCCAGTGGGGTTGGGGGGGGGGTGTTATGGAAGGGAGACTGAAAGAGGGATTAGTGATGGTGGTTGGGGTGCGGGCGTGGAAGTCTAGCACAGCGGGGGTAGGAAGGCAAGGGTGGATCAGTGGGAGCTGGGAAGAGGGACAGGAAAAAGGGTGGTTGAGGATATAGAGGAACCTCTAGAATATAGCAACCCTGTCACCTTGGAGCAGTGTAATTCCCTATCACTTCTCAAGGCTGCCATGTACAGGAAAAAAGAAAAACACAACATTTTTTGTGGTTACCTGCATTTTTGTAAAACTGGCAGCTTCCCTCATTTTGCCCCTTTCCCAAAACCATCCCTCGTCTGCCCCTCCCTGTCACCACCACCTCCGTCTCCCTGTGGATTCCACATGACTCTGTCCAACAGAGGGGCCACCTAAATTACCTCAAATTAGGCATCACAGCATCACTCACTACCTGGGAAGAGCACTTGTAGCTGCCTGCCCACAACCCAGTTGAATGGGCTTGACATCTCACAGGACACTGAACAGCTCCTGAATAAACTCTACCTACCTCAGAGCTTGGTTTAGTTAACACTTTTTCAAGTTTCAGAGTAACAGCCGTGTTAGTCTGTATTCGCAAAAAGAAAAGGAGTACTTGTGGCACCTTAGAGGCTAACCAATTTATTTGAGCATAAGCTTTCGTGAGCTACAGCTCACTTCATCGGATGCATACTGTGGAAAGTGTAGAAGATCTTTTATACACACAAAGTATGAAAAGATACCTCCCCCCACCCCACTCTCCTGCTGGGCAATAGCTTATCTAAAGTGATCACTCTCCTTACAATGTGTATGATAATCAAGGTGGGCCATTTCCAGCACAAATCCAGGGTTTAACAAGAAGAAGCGGCTGTCCTATCTCGGGGCCTCTCCTTCTGCCCCTCCACCCCCACGAACATGATACAGTTCTGTGGTGACCTAGAATCCTATTTTCAACGTCTCCGACTCAAGGAATATTTCCAACATACCTCTGAACAACATACTAATCCACAGAGACCTCCCTACCAACACTACAAAAAGAAGGATTCTAGGTGGACTCCTCCGAAAGGTCCAAACAGCAGACTGGACTTCTACATAGAGTGCTTCCGCCGACGTGCCCGGGCTGAAATTGTGGAAAAGCAGCATCACTTGCCCCATAACCTCAGCCGTGCGGAACACAATGCCAGCCACGGCCTCAGAAACAACTCTGACATCATTATTAAAAAATGCTGACAAAGGAGGTGCTGTTGTCATCATGAATAGGTCAGAATATGAACAAGAGGCTGCTCGGCAGCTCTCCAACACCACTTTCTACAAGCCATTACCCTCTGATCCCACTGATAGTTACCAAAAGAAACTACAGCATTTGCTCAAAAACTCCCTGAAAAAGCACAAGATCAAATCCGCACAGACACACCCCTGGAACCCTGACCTGGGATATTCTATCTACTACCCAAGATCCATAAACCTGGAAATCCTGGGCGCCCCATCATCTCAGGCATTGGCACCCTGACAGCAGGATTGTCTGGCTATGTAGACTGCCTCCTCAGGCCCTACGCTACCAGCACTCCCAGCTACCTTTGAGACACCACTGACATCCTGAGGAAACAACAATTCATCGGTGATCTTCCTGATAACACCATCCTAGCCACCATGGATGTAGAAGCCCTCTACACCAATATTCCACACAAAGATGGACTACAAGCCGTCAAGAACACTATCCCCGATAATGTTACAGCTAACCTGGTGGCTGAACTTTGTGACTTTGTCCTCACCCATAACTATTTTACATTTGGGGACAATGTATACCTTCAGATCAGCGGCACTGCTATGGGTACCCGCATGGCCGCACAGTATGCCAACATTTTTATGGCTGACTTAGAACAACGCTTCCTCAGCTCTCGTCCCCTAACACCCCTACTCTAATTGCGCTATATTGATAACATCTTCATCATCTGGACCCACGGAAAAGAAGCCCTTGAGGAATTCCACCATGATTTCAATAATTTCCATCCCACCATCAACCTCAGCCTGGTCCAGTCCACACAAGAGATCCACTTCCTGGACACTACAGTGCTAATAAACAATGGTCACATAAACACCACCCTATACCGGAAACCTACTGACCGCTATTCCTACCTACATGCCTCCAGCTTTCACCCTGACCACACCACATGATCCATCGTCTACAGCCAAGCTCTGCGATATAACCGCATTTGCTCCAACCCCTCAGACAGAGACAAACACCTACAAGATCTCTATCAAGCATTCTTACAACTACAATACCCACCTGCGGAACTGAAGAAACAGATTGATAGAGCCAGAAGAGTTCCCAGAAGTCACCTACTACAGGACAGGCCTAACAAAGAAAATAACAGAACGCCACTAGCAGTCACCTTCAGCCCCCAACTAAAACCCCTCCAACGCATTATTAAGGATCTACAACCTATCCTGAAGGACGACCCAACACTCTCACAAATCTTGGGAGACAGGCCAGTCCTTGCCTACAGACAGCCCCCCAACTTGAAGCAAATATTCACCAGCAACCACATACCACACAACAGAACCACTAACCCAGGAACCTATCCTTGCAACAAAGCCCGTTGCCAACTGTGCCCACATATCTATTCAGGGGACACCATCACAGGGCCTAATAACATCAGCCACACTATCAGAGGCTCGTTCACCTGCACATCCACCAATGTGATATATGCCATCATGTGCCAGCAATGCCCCTCTGCCACGTACATTGGTCAAACTGGACAGTCTCTACGTAAAAGAATAAATGGACACAAATCAGATGTCAAGAATTATAACATTCATAAACCAGTCAGAGAACACTTCAATCTCTCTGGTCACACGATTACAGACATGAAAGTTGCAATTCTTCAACAAAAAAAACTTCAAATCCAGACTCCAGCGAGAAACTGTTGAATTGGAATTCATTTGCAAATTGGATACAATTAACTTAGGCTTGAATAGAGACTGGGAGTGGCTAAGTCATTATGCAAGGTAACCTATTTCCCCTTGTTTTTTCCTAACCCCCCCACCCCAGACATTCTTGTTAAACCCTGGATTTGTGCTGGAAATGGCCCACCTTGATTATCATACACATTGTAAGGAGAGTGGTCACTTTAGATAAGCTATTACCAGCAGGAGAGTGGGTTTGTGTGGGGGGCAGGGGGTGAGAAAACCTGTATTTGTGCTGGTAATGGCCCAACTTGATTATCTCACACATTGTAAGGAGAGTGATCACTTTAGATAAGATATTGCCAGCAGGAAATTGGGGTGGGGGGAGGTATTTTTTCATGCTTTGCGTGTATAAAAGATCTTCTACACTTTCCACAGTATGCATCCGATGAAGTGAGCTGTAGCTCACGAAAGCTTATGCTCAAATAAATTGGTTAGTCTCTAAGGTGCCACAAGTACTCCTTTTCTTTTCACTTTTTTCAAATACATTTTATTTGGAATAGTTCCTAATTTCTATTTTATGCTAGGCAAAGGCACTTAATTGTAGATAGAAAACATTCCATTAGTTTCATGCTTTTATTGTCTTACTGCTTCATCACTAAAAGGAATGCTGCACTCTTCTTGCAAATAGTCTAAAAACAGTGACATTACCCATTAAATTCAGATTCAGGTAACACTAATCATCTGTAGTAAGTGACTTTCAGAAAGTGGAAAAAACTGTTTGCTTTCTCCTAGGACTAAAGTTCCCTACTTGGAATCACATTTACATCACATATTGAAGCCAACGAGCTTCAATGAGAGTCACAGAGGGCACAATGGCCCTTAATTATTTTATCATGAGATCTCCTTCAATTTCACTGTAGGATTTTTCCATTTGGATTTCTATAACATTCTAATAATATTTCTGTTGTTGTTACAGAGCCATGTGTTATCACACAAGAAGATATGAGATCACACAACATAGATCTGAAGTGGGCTTCAGCTCAAAAACTCTATGTGTCACATGGAGATTTTGTAGAGTTTAAGTGTAGATCCAGTTTATTGCCGAACTCTTCAAATAATTATAGAGTGCAGTGCAATGTGGGCCAAATACCTTATCCCCAATGCACTTAGAGATGGGTGAATGTAGGAGACTTCACCACATGTGAATGGCAAGTACTCTTTATTATTATGCTTCTCAGTGGTCCCTCTGAAACAGATCCCCAGGGTTTTATCATTCAAACTAGAACTACACCCAGATAGCAGTCACTCCAGGAATTGTATAATAGCAACAACTAATTCATGTTAACCAATGCTATAGCAACACTGTTGGGTGTGCACCTTTTTAGGAGTAATGCCTCCAGAAATAATCAGCCAAGATGGTAGAAGACATAAGCAATCCTCACAGAGATCAAACAAAAGAATATAAAATTCCAGAGGCCTTTTAGAATGAAAATTGGGGTTTGTGCTCTTTCTTGCTTCTTTATGTTGGCTAATGGCAGCCTAAAAGGTGGGATTTTTTCTCCCCATCCTTGCGTATTGCACTAGAAATTGAGACCTAGTTTAGAATGAAAGACTAAGATGACTGGAGAATGAGCGTAATTGTGACATCACAAGAATAAAGAGTGAAAATTAAGCAAATAGGACAGGATGTGATTTTTAGTCAGATAGTTAAAAACAAAACACAAAGAATTACAGTTTAATTTCAGTTACCAAGATCTCATGCCCCTACAATTAAGTATGTTAGAGTGTACAATAAACATGCTCTGAGACCTCGCAGTGGTCCTCCGGCTAAACCAGGGAAGTCCATATGCCTGGTATTTCTAAAGTAGAAAAAAAAGCTATTCAAAAACTTTGTAAACAAGAAGAGTCCTTTCAGGCCTTCTTGCTACTTTATAAAGAAACAAAAGGGGGCATAACCTAATTTTTTTTTAAATTGCAGGTCACCTTTAAAGAACATGCTTTCTGTCCTCTCATACATTCACTGGTATCTTCTGAACCCTGCTTAGTTTCCAACAGTGATCTCCCATATTCCTCAGGAGGAATGATGGCCATTCTGAAATGGACCCCCTCCCCAATTTTATCAAACATTACCCACTTCTGTTGCTTGAGGCAGATTCTCACTTCACCAGAATTATATAAAACCCATTCATACTGCCACTGGCCCATCCACTTCAGGCTTCATATGCTACATACACCAAACCTGGCAAGCAAGGAAGCAAACAAACCTTACATGAGAGAATGCATTAAGCAGCTGTCCAAATGGTCAGAGTATCCTAGCTGCCAAATATACACTGAATTCACACTTACCTATGCCTTCCCAGTCAAGAAGCACAAATAGACCAAAATTGTCTCATCATACCTATATTGTGGTACCTAGTGGCTCAGGAAATGATTCTTCTCTCTAAGAATAGAGCTTTAACAGAGTGAACAATAACTAGAGGACACATCTTGTAGACATTACTAAAGCTGTGTTGTCACTCTCATGACATTTTACGTTCTTAAAGCCCCAGCTCAAATGATAGATGAGAATCTCAACCTTCAGATCCAAAGCTGAATGTCCCTGGAGTTTAGATATGAGGTTTTAGGCTTACGCTAATCTCTACCGAAAACAAACGGTTACAGGATGTACAGCAAATTCACAACTGTGAAGTGTACACTGCTTGATAAATCACAAACTCAATTATTAGAAATGGCTATCACCTCTTTTATTCAGGTCCTACTATTGTTTCCTACATTATTATATTAATGAACAGTAATCATTTTATATATCTGTTAATAACCTATACAATATGGTGGGGAGGAAAGACTGGAATATGACATATGTTTGAGGACAACTCCAAATACATTGCATTCAATTAAATGATTTTCTCTCTCTGCTGTATTTCCTTCATTACCATTTCTCACTTTACAAAGCAATGCCTTGATCTCATCTGAAAAAAGGTTAGTAGAATAGGGCATATTGTCTATCAGCTTTTTTTTTTACATTAATTTTTTCATAAAAAATATATACTTCTCCCCAAAAATGGATTTTTCTTTAGAAAAACTGAATTTTTTGGCTGAAAACCTGTTTTTGACAATGTTGAAATTTTCTCATAGAACCCACGTGTTGCTCACTGTTTTTCCCATCAACTCCATACTTCAGGTGCCATAATCTCTTTTGATAACCTATGCTTTCCTTTATAACTACAGCACTCAGAAAAGTGGTGCTGCAATACTGGACAGTTCTTATTAAGGAGATCACTTACAGAAAAGTCTCAGCAACAATTGCAGAAAGCTAGGATTTGGGGGAGGATAAGATAACAGAGGGAAGGCCACGGGAGCTTCTATAAAGTATTTTTAAACATTTTTATTCTAACACATTTAATGGATTTGTGGCAAAAATTCTAATTTCTTCAGATTTCCCCCAAATCTTAAGTGTTGGGTTCAAACCCCAGCTACATGATCTCCATGAACAGTTTAGGGGACAGTCCAATGCTCAAATGTTATGAGAAATCTTGCATAGAAAGTCTATGCATAGATGGTCTATGCATTATATTAAGGACAGTTTTAGGGAACTGAAAATGGTCTGAATTACCAAAAGAAGATCAATAGACAAAATAAAGCTTTTTGCATGACGACTTTTTATTTAAGGTTCATAAAACCAAAAAATATCCAGTGTAAATACATGTTTCTTAAGTTTTAAGTGGGCTACAAGGTCAAACACTTTGTCTTTATAAATAGTTTAGTAACATTTTATTGGATTTCTAAATAAAATGTGGCCTGTTTCACATCCCTTGAAGCATCAGTGCTGTTGACGTCTTACCTATAAAAGCAAACATAGCTGCTGTTATTCTTTACAATATGAAGTTCACAGATCTTTGAGCACAGTTCTGTAGAAGGTGGAGAGAATAGTGTCAACAATGGCAAAGCAAAAGCCCACCAAAATGACATCTGACATGAATGTCAGTTCTTATGTATAAAGAAAAGGAGTACTTGTGGCACCTTAGAGACTAACCAATTTATTTGAGCATGAGCTTTCGTGAGCTACAGCTCACTTCATCAGATGTTATACCGTGGAAACTGCAGCAGACTTTATATACACACAGAGAATATGAAACAATACCTCCTCCCACCCCACTGTCCTGCTGGTAATAGCTTATCTAAAGTGATCAACAGGTGGGCCCACCTGCTGATCACTTTAGATAAGCTATTACCAGCAGGACAGTGGGGTGGGAGGAGGTATTGTTTCATATTCTCTGTGTGTATATAAAGTCTGCTGCAGTTTCCACGGTATAACATCTGATGAAGTGAGCTGTAGCTCACGAAAGCTCATGCTCAAATAAATTGGTTAGTCTCTAAGGTGCCACAAGTACTCCTTTTCTTTTTGCGAATACAGACTAACACGGCTGTTCCTCTGAAACCAGTTCTTATGTATCTAACTTTAAATAAAATGATGCTACATCACACTTTGTTTTATTTATTCTTTATCTAGTATTCTATTAGGAATGGTTTTCCCACAAATCCTATGTGATCATTTTATTTCCATTCTAACTGAGGCAGTTATATATAATGCTCCATAGTGCATGAAAAATGCGGCAGGGAGAGAAGCAGTAATTTGAGATCCATCACTGAAATAATCCTAATATGGAATACCTATAACCAGCAGTATAGCTCAACTCAGATGCCACATGCAGTTTTCATGAAGGTTCTGCTTGACATGACCACTTGTCTAGTATTACAACAACCTGTCGCAACACAAGGAGTTTATTGTATGGGTCCTAGACTGGGAGTCTCACTGCCCAATCTGACATTGCTGCCAAAGCAATGCATTCAGTCCTAAAAATTGAAGGTTTGTGGGGCAAGAAGGCACTTCACTTTGCTCCCTGATATTCCCACTCCAGTGGAAGTGGACAGCAGCACCTGTAGCTGTCCTCTGCTAGACCGAAGGTCTCCACAGTGCAGAGTGTTTGTGGAAGTGACCATTCTTGATACATAAAGATGACCAACTGACTTGCCCAAGGTCACGGAATCAGTGGCTCTCTAGGGATCAGAATCAGGAAGCTATCCAAAAATAGGTTAGCAAAAACACACAATCATTTGAAGGCATCCATTATTTAGACCAGGCATTCTCAAATTTTCTCCATGCAAGACATCTTGTCATGGTCCCAGTTCCACAATCCTTTGAGTCATGGTAAGAAATTGAAGCTGGTTTTGGCAGCAAGAGGTGGTGTTGGATTGTTTTATGGGGTGGGGGTTGTTGGATGTGGTAGCAGGAACTACTGAATTGGGATTGGAGCTGCCTCTTCCTCTCTACAGCCACACTGCTACAGAAAAGCATCATTAATTTGCTGCTGCGCTACGTTCAATTGGGGAAAACACAACTGACTCCCAACTATGCTTGAGCAGAGTTTTCCTGGAACACACCATCGCACAGGCATGTAGGAGGGAAGGGAAGACCATTACCTTTTCCGTAACTGGTGTTCAAGATGTGTTGTTCATGTCCATTCCACAATAGGTGTGCGTGCTCACCACATGCACCGGAGCCGGAAGTTTTTCCCCAGCAGTACCCGTGGAGGAGCGCCCCTAGTGGCACCTCTATGGCGTGGTATAAGGGAAGCTGCACACTCCCTGCACCCTCAGTTCCTTCTTGCCAGACAACTCCAACAAAGGGGAAGGAGGGCAGGATATGGAATGGAATTGAACAATACATTTCAAAGAATACCAGTTAAGGAAAAGGTAACTGTCTTTTCTTCTTCAAGTGATTGCTCATGTGCATTCCAGAGTAGGTGATTCCAAGCTATATCTGTTGGAGGTGGATAGGAGTTCACAACTCTTGGGACGCAGTACTGCCCTGCTGAACCCGGAATCCTTCCTGGTTTGGGAGACAATCGCATAATTCTAGGTGAACGTGTGAACCAAAGACCATGTGGCAGCCCTACAAATGTCCTGAATGGGAACATGGGCTAAAAAGGAAGCCGACAAGGTTTGCACCCTAGTCAAGCGTGCCCTCACAAATCAGCAGCGGGGGAATTCCCGCCAGGTCATAACAGGTACAAATACACAAAGTGATCCAATTGGAGAGCCGCTGAGTGGAGATCGGCCGACCTCTCATGCGTTCGGCTGAGGCGATGAACAGCTGCAAGGACTTCCTGAACAGCTTAGTCCGCTCCAGGTAAAAGGCCAGAGCCCGTCTCACATCCAGCATGTGGAGGCGGCGCACCTCACTGGATGCACTGATTGCCACCAGGAAGGCTACCTTCCACAAGAGGTGCGACCAGGAGCACGTAGCTAGAGGCTCAAACGGGGGACCCATCAACTGGGCCAGCACCAAGTTCAGGTCCCACAGTGGGACTGGGGGCCTAACGTATGGGAAGAGACGATCCAATCCCTTAAGGAATCGGCCAGTCATAGCATGGGAGAATACTGTGTGCCCCTGCACCGGTGGGTGGAAGGCCAATATGGCTGCCAAGTGCACCTTGACGGACGAGGGCGCTAGGCCTTGGGCTCTAAGGTGAAAGAGGTAGTCTAAAATGAGTTGGGTCAGAGTAACCACAGACAAAACACCCCAGTTGTCTGCCCACCAAGAAAACTGAGACCACTTCACCAGGTAGGCCTGGCACATAGAGGGCCATCTGCTTTCCAGGAGGACGCACTGAGCCCCTTCCGAGCATGTCCTTTCTTCCTGGCCTAACCATTGAGCAGCCGTGCCTTGAGGTGTGGTGCCGCTAGGTTGTGGTGGAGGAAGTGGCCCTGGTCCTGGGAGAGCAGGTCCCTGGAGCAGACGTGGGGACACCGGCAGTTCTGCCAAGTCACGAACAGGTCCACTTGGGAAGTTCCCCACTCTTGGAAAATCCTGTTCACCACCTTTGGGTGTAGTGACCACGCATGCTGAGAGGAGAAGTCTTGGCTCAGGTGATCCGCCCGTGAGTTCCAGGCACCTGATAAGTGGTGGGCTTGCAGGCAAATACTGTGGGCTATACGGAAGTCCCACAGCCTGAGGGCTTCCTGGCAGAAAGCAGAGGAGCAGGCCCTGCCTTGCCTGTTGATGTGAAACATCAAGGCCATGTTGTCCGTGAGAACCCTGACCACTCTGCTGTCCAGGTGTGAGCAGAAGGCCACGCATGCCAGCTGGACCGCCCTGAGCTCCTTAACGTTTACATGCAGGGCAAAGTCCTGCACGGACCACAGACCTTGGGTCTGAACGTTCCCCACATAGGCTCCCCACCCCAGGTCCAACGCGTTGGACACCAGCTTCACCAATGGGGGCCTGCCCCTGAATGGGACCCCATGGGGCACATTCCCCGGGGAGGACCACCATTATAGGGAGGTGATCACTGGTTCAGGCACAGTGAGGACCTTGTCCATCCTGTCTCTGGACTGGGAGAACACCAAGGCCAACCAGAGCTGGAGGGGCCTCATCCTGAGCCTGGCATGGCAAACCACATATGTGCATGCTGACATGTAACCTAGGAGCTGGAGGCACACTCTGGCGGTAGTCACGGGGAACCTTGTGACTGTGTTGATGAGCCCTGTCAGGGTCTCGAATCTTTCTGATGGGAGGGAGGCCCTGGCCGATGTCGCATCCAGGACTGCCCCGATAAACTTTATGCGCTGCACCAGGACTAACGTGGACTTGGTGTCGTTTACCAACAGGCCCAGGGTGGTGCATGTGGACAGGAGGAATACCACATAATCCCGCACCTGCAACCTGGAGCTGCCCTTGACCAGCCAGTCGTTGAGATGGGGAAGATCTGAACCCCATAACGTCTGAGGTAGGCTGCCACCACAGACATTCACTTTGTGAATACCCTGGGAGCAGTGGACAGGCCAAATTGGAGGACCATAAATTAATAGTGTTCCTGCCCAACCATGAAGCAGAGGAAATGCCTGTGCCCCTCAAATATATGAATGTGGAAGTATGCATCCTGCAGATCGAGAGCAGCGTACCAGTCCCCAGGAAGGGGATGATGGAAGCCAGAGAGACCATGAGAAACTTGAGCTTTACCATGTACTGGTCAGGCCTTGCAGGTCCAGGATGGGCCTGAGCCTGAGCCCGCCTTTGGGATAAGAAAATAGTGGGAGTACTACCCCTTGCATCTGAACTCTGCTGGCACCACTTCCACCGCTCCTAGGCTCAAGCAGGGCCTTATGAGAGGGGTCCCCCAGGAGTGATGGGGATGGAGGATGGTTGGGTGGGGTAGGGGTAAACTGGAGGGTGTAGTCCTGGGAGACAGTTTTGAGGACCCAACGGTCCAAGGTCAGCCGCAACCACTCAGGGAGAAAAGCACATAACTGGTTGGAAAAGGGAAGCTTTATTGCGGGTGGATCCCTGATATGAACTGGTTAAGTCGCCCCCGGGCGTCCCGTCAAAACTGACATTTCCCCGCCTGTTTGCCCTTGGAAGGCCCAGGCTAGGGGGCAGACTGGGACTGCCTCTGTGGGCATTTCTTATAGTCCCATGACTTTTTATGG